TGGGTGAGAATCTGATGTATCAGGTTGGGCTTCTGTGGGTCTCCTACTGAATGCACAGACTTCCTTCCAGACAATTTTTGCCGTAAGATCTGGTGTTCCTTTGATAGAAGCACCAGCTTGCTTTAACTTACCAATTCACACATATTTTAGAGGAAACCTAACAGGTGCTACCTGACTTGTACAAAGAACTTTTCCTGAGATATGGTGGAGGGACTCAGCTCTGTGCTGTTGGATTTTCTGAGGTTTCTAGATGGACAGTGAGATTCATTAGGGTTCCTAGTGGAAGAAAAGGAGCCCCTTCTTCAGGTCCGTAAGTCCTCCACAACTGTCCAAATAAATTGGGTAAGATTGCTTTTCTCCCCTACGCTACCTTAAAGCTATCATTGCTTATTTAAATTTGAATCCATTTGTATAAAAAATAATGGAAACACAATGATTACCTTTAGGGAGAAGAAATAGGAGGTTTGCGGAAGGAAGTCAGGAAGTCTTAATTTCTTTTGGGGAATCCTTGTGTAATATATGGAAATTCCATCTGCCTGTATTACTTTATCCAAAAAAATGTTTTAATTACCTATATTTTGAAAACCACTGGCTGTGTCTGTGTCAGGTAGGGTTGGCAGGTGAAGGTAGGAAGGTACACTGCAAAATTCATTTCAGATCCTGATCCCTGCAAGGAACAACTCTGTGTTCTTATACATTTAGCTGTGGTCAATGTTTGGGATTATTTACAAAACAATGCACATATTGTGCTTTGCCTATTCACACAAGTTTCAACATAAATACTGCTAAAACTACAAGCCACAGATCTGTGAATCTCATCCACTGAGATTCAATAGCTTGGTAACATCAACTCCAATAAAAGTGGTGAGGGGGCATGAACGAATAAAAGTTACAAAGAAGAAAGAATAAGTTTTGAGGTAGGAAAGTTATGGAGTTGATGTTGAGCCAATTAGTAATGGAAGAGAATTAAGAATCTGTCCCCCCATGGAACTGGCAGTTACACGATGTGATGGCGGTGTTGGCTCATGCTACAGTGGTAACCGTTTTCCCGCACAGTTATACCTTGAGGATATTGCAAGTTTGCTTCCTAGCCACTGCAATAAAGTGAATGTCACAATAAGAGTCAAATGAATTTTTTGGTCTCCCACTGCATATAAAAGTTAATGTTTAAAAAAAAAAGTTAATGTTTATACTATACTGTAGTCTGTTAAGTACGCAGTAGGATTATACCTTTAAAAAACAATCTACATACCTTAATTTAAAAATACTTTATTGCTAAAAATTTCTCATCATCAGCTGAACTTTCAGTGAGTTTTAAATCTTTTTGTTGGTGGAGGGTCTTGCCTTGACATTGACGTCTGCTGAGTGCTCGGGGTGGTGGCTGCTTGGGAGTGGGGTGGCGGTAGATGCTTCTTAAAGTAAGACAACAATGAAGTTTGCTACCTTGATTGATTCTTCCTTTCATGAATGATTTCTCTATAGCACATGATGTTGTTTGATAACATTTTACCCACAGTAGAACTTCTTTCAAAATTGGAGTCAATCCTCTAAAACCCTGCTGTTGCTTTATCAACTAAGTTTATGTAATATTCTATATACTTTGTTGTCATTTCAACAATCTTCATAGCATCTTCACCAGGATTAGATTCTATCTCAAGAAACCACTTTCTCCTCCATGAGAAGCAACTCCCCATCTGTTAAAGTTTTATCCTGAAGTTACAGCAATTCAAATATGATAATAATGAAAAAAATTGAAATATTGTGAGAATTACCAAATTGTGACACACAGACGTGAAGTGATCAAATGCTGTTAGAAAAAATGGTGCTGATAGACTTGTTCAAAGCAGAGTTGCTACAAACCTTTGATTTGTAAAAAACTCAATTATCTGCAGAGTACGATAAAGCAAGGCCCAGTACGATGAGGTGTGCCTATATATAAGTGTATCAAATCGACACATTGTACGTCTTAAATTTGCAGAATGTTATATGTCAATTATATATCAGTAAAGCTGAAAGAAAAAAGAATCAGTACCAAAAGAAAAAGAGATATAGAGAGTAATTGAATCTCTTCAATAGTATTGCCATTACAGGGAAAATGTGTGGACTTTGCTGCAGAAGTCCCTAGAGCTTCCCCCAGTGCAACTCCTGTCTTTGTGGGATTCACTTGTTTCTGTTCTTGGATTCCCATGAGCTATCTGTTTTGTTTCTTTTTATAATTAACCCACTTTCCTTGACTTAGCATAAGTGAATCTGTGTTCTTTCTTTCCAAAAAAACTTGAACTAATTGAAATTTCTGCTCTGGACTTTAGTCATTTTCTCCCAAATAGAGAATCTCTAGCTAGAGAGGCTGGGATGACATAATCACCCTTAATGGATACACCATGAATCCTAAATTCATCATCTCTCATTGATGGAAAGTATATAAAACAACTCCAATATCCAAATGATATTTCAAGATCAAAAAGTAAAAAGTGCAAATGATATTATAGATTGAATAGAAGAGACCAAGTATGTGTGGGAGGGAGAGGTCACTGAGTATAAGAGGAAAGGACAAAGAATCAGCCAGGGTCAACCCTGAGAGAGATTGAAAATAGGAGAAAAAAGTCTTTCTCTGTCCATGTCTCTCCCTACCCTTTCCAGGCACGCATCTTGCATTTGGTTTCTACTACTTGTGGCTTCACACCCAGTTGAAGCTGGGTTGCCAGTTGTTTGAGTTGCCATTGTTATAACCCATCTTTCTTCAAGCACACCTTGTCTTCATCAAGAAATCAAGAAAATGGAAAGATCTCAAATAAACAATCTACAACCCAAATTTCTAGTGCTCAAGGAATTCGAAAAAGAAGAAAAACCCCAAAGTAGCAAATGTAAGGAAATAATAAAGAGGAGAAATAAATGAAACAGAGAAAACAGAAAAGCCATAGAAAAGATTGATAAAACTAAGAGTTTTGGTTCTTGGAAAAGATAAACACAATTAACATATCTTTAGTGACACCTTATTTTATCCCAGGGTTGAGATGCCTACCTGTCCCTGAAAGGTAATGTAATGAAGCAGTAGGGGACAGAGTTTCTTGCTTATATAAGGTATTTTTCACTTCCACAAAAATGCACAGCCTGTTTCAGTGAAGGCAGCTAACTGCTGTAACAAACAGCCCTCAAATCTCAGGGACTTCATAGAATATGCATTTCTCACGCATGATACAGAGCGGAGAATGAGCGGGAGCTCTGTTCCACGCTGTCATTCAGGGATCCAGTCCACTTCTCCTCTGTGGCTCTGGCATCCCACAGTCCTCCACTGAATCATTTGCATTTGACAAGAAGAGAAAGTATTAGGAAAGAGCATCCATTTAAAACACTTTCAACCCCAGTGATACGTTGTCACTCGTTCACATTCTGCTCACAGGAAGACCAGGAACTGTAGAGCCCAGAAAGCAAAGAAGAGCTCAGCTATTAGTGAATATCAGAAATCTCTACTATGAACTTTCCCCCATATTTTGGAAATGTCCTACCTGGTCAGCATCTTGTTTTCCACTCTTAGATAGATATAATCAATAAGAAATATTTCTCGATGACAGAAAAGCCCAGGCAGTGGTAAATGGCAACTGACATTGTTCTTAGTTGATAGGACAGCGAGAGGTAAGGGCAAGAGCTGTGGCAGACAGAACACATGCCCCGTCTAATAAGAGTAGCCATTGCTCAGCTTTGACTGGTTGTTAGCATTAGGAAATGTTCACTAAGTTTTTCTAGGTCTTCTGATTTTTCAGGTGAAGAGCCTGGATTTGTATGGGAAATATAATCTCAATTATAAAATAAAAACTGCTCATTTCTGTTTCTGGTAATTTATGAAGTGACTCCTTTTTCCTCCTACTTCCTACTTATTGCCCTTGACTCTATTAAGGTTTTACCTAATACAAATATAAGAGTCTACCCATAGGTATTGGCATCATAACAGAAGGTTCTTGAAAACACAAAATCAAAACAATCTAAAGGAATGAATTTCTAACTATAAAATTTTAGATGGAACTGTTAAGGATATTTTTCAGTAAGGACATTGCCCCACGGCCTGCCAATCACATCTTGTGGGTGACGTCTGTGTTATCTTGGTTGTGTTGTATTGTGTTGTTGTTGTGTTGTGTTGTGTTGTGTTGTGTTGTGTTGGAAAAAACCTGTAGTTCTATAAGCATTAAGGTGTTCTATCGCCATCCTCTGATGACCTAACTGACTTTGTGTTTAAATCTCTAAAATGAGTTAGAATGTCCTTGCCACTCTTTGGTGTCCTTGCCAATGTTACTTGGCTAGTTTCAGCGCTGTGAGCAGGGACTGGCACTGTTACGGATTGATCTGTTTCCCCCAAATTCGCATGTTGAAGGCTAATCCTCGAGGTGACTGTGTTTTGAGATATGGTCTATGAGGATGTGATAAAGGTTGGGTGAGGTCATAGGGTGGGGCCCTAATCCTAAGGACTTAGTGCCTGAGGAGATAGGAAGAGATGCTACAGTTCACTCACTTATTTGTGCTCATATACTCTTGCTCTCCATGGGTGCACAGAAGTCTATGTGAAGACACGGTGACAAGGAAACTGCCCATGAGCCAGGAAGAGAGGTTTCACTAGAAACCAACCCTACTGGCCTCTCGATCGTGGACTTCCAGCCTCCAGAACTACGAGACAATACATTCCTGTTGCTGCAGCCGCCCGTCTGGGATATTTTGTTACGTCCACCTGAGCACACCTTACCTGTGGCCTCAGAGTGTTATTGGGCTCCCATGAACATTTAACTTACTTTGGGAAATACATGCAGAAATATTAGAACTGAAGCGATGGAGTTATTCTGAGGATACACTGAGCCTCCGGGTGAATCTCTCCTAACCCAGGGCTTTTAAAATGTGTATTGAAGTGTTTTAAACAGGCTTGCATTCTCCACTTCACCACAGGGCCCAGTGCTCCCTAGCTATCACTCATGGCCCCCTCCATGCTTTTTTTTTTTTTTCTTATTAATCCCTAGAGGCACCCGTGTGACCTGGAATGAGCCGAGGCGTGGTGAAGAGGTATTGGGAGGAGGCCAGAGAAGGGGTAAGTAAATCAATGAGAGGTAGGAGGCAAGACAGCTAAGAACCTGGGCCTGAGAAGAAGGAGTGTAAGGAAGGAGGAAACCAGGCACCAGTGTCGTACACAAGAAAAGGCCAGTCCAGCTAGGGCTGATAGGACACCTCTGGATTAGCAGGTAGGTTGGCAGAGCCATCTCCTGGCTTACGCGACAATCCTTCCCTTCTCTCATGTTGGTAGATCCTAGAGCCCGATGTCCACAACTGAGACTATAAAACTGCCAGATACTTGCCTCCCAGCATCCCTTGCAGCTAAGGATGCCGTGAAAACACACTTTCCATGAGACATGAAGGGAAATGTGACTGATTTCTCACCTCATGTAAAGAGAAAAATGGATCAGCAGTGTTCCTGTTCCATTCTTTCTCACTTGGTGCAGTTGGGTGAGGGAGTACAGCTATCTCACTGAGCATCATGAGGCAACTGGCTGGAGGAAAGAAGCCAACATGTAGGAAAGAAGGGAACAGAAAGATGGAAAGAGGTTGGGCCCCTGAGCTACTGAACAAATACCAGGCCTGCCCAGCCTCAGGCTCCCTGGCTGTCTGAAAAAAGCAAAACAAACACAAAAACAAAACAACAGAAACCCTTTATTCAGGCTACTTTCTGTCGGGGATTCTGCCAGCTGTATCCCAAAACATCTTAGCTGGTACGCTCCATGAGAACGAATCCAGCAGAGTGGGGAAGGGAAGTGACAGCTGTCGTTGAGGTTCAGTTACACAGAACGTGAAGGAAAGAAACAATGGCTTGGTTGTGAAGAAAGGTGGAGAAAGAGGAGATTAAACCTAGAACTTTCTTCTATAAGAAGGTATATGTGAGGGTGAAGGGTATAGACTCTGGATCCAGAAAGACGCTGGCTTAGATCTCAGTGCTACCATTTGCTAGTTGTGAACTGGCTGTTTGACCTCCCGGGGCCTCCCCGTCCTTACCTGTAAGGTGGGGGTACAGTAGAGCCCACTGAGGACTGTTGCTGCAGGGCTTACGTGAGTCCAGGTAGGTGTGCCTCTTAGCCAGGGCCCGGCAAGTGTTCACTACATGTTAGCTGCGGCTTAGACCGTCCCTGATCTATAGCCTTCTTGCACATCTCCCTCCAGGTTGCCCATCCACACCTCGAGCCCCTGGCGTCTGGTCTCCCTCTCCTTCCCACCATATGCTCTTCATTTTTGCTAATTAGGAAAATGTCTTGGATGTAGCAGAAAGACATGTGGCATGCTGTGTGAAACTGGATGTTTTGGGCTTGGATAGATTTAATTCACAGAGTATGCTATGTGCTGTCTGGTTATCCAAGGAACCCAATAAAAGCTGATCTCATCCTACTGATTGAATTTGCTGACACGCTTATCATTTCCTTTTACAGTTTTTATGGTCCAGAATGATTCTGTTGCCAGCATCTTCTGATAGAAGGAATTAACTTTTCCAGGCAGTGCAATCATGCTATTTATTAAAAGAAGCATTGAACAATCCGAATGGACTTCAGAGCTGTGTCCTGAGCCATCTGGCCAACTCTCGGGCAAGAAACTTCTTTGTTCTTTAGAGACCAAGCTTTTTCCCCAAGCACTAACAGAACTGAAATGGAAGAAGTTGGAATTATTCGTCTTTGGTACGTAAAGAATAGCTTACTATTTATGCATACGAAGGGACATTTTTAAAGGAAGGAAGCAATTAGAGGATGTTTTGTCCCCGCCTCAGTGACCTCTCCATTTTAACCTTAGTCTTTTTACATCAGGGCTGTTTTTATGTTGTGTTTATGAACCCGTGTCCGTGAATACAAACCCTTTGTGTATTTCATTCATTTATTCAATATTTGCTGACTGCCTCTGTGATCCAGCGTTGTTTTAGGGGTTGTGATACTGTGAGGTTCCTGTTCCCAGGAGACTGAGCCCTGGGCTTGGGGTGCATGTTAAGGACAGACCTGGGTCGAAGGCACTTGGGGCGCAACAAAGGAGAACGCTGCAGGAAACAAATGGCAAAACTGTTCTGAAGGGAACACTGGATGTGGAACCTAAATTTCCTGAAGCATCAAGGATGCCATAAAACAAACATCAGTTTTTCGATCATGCTTCTAACTACATTTTTCATTATAGCATTGAGATATTCAGAGCTCCTATTCAAATCAGAAGCTGTTACTCAATGTTTTCTGAATGAAGGCAGTAATGATTCCTTATAATATGGTTTATTATATGAAATTAGTTAAATCTTAGGCCTCAAAACATAATATGCACCATAAAATCCTGATATAACATAGTTAATCTATACTTTGGGGGTTAGCCCAGTTCCCCTCAGTTATCATTATAAAAAGGTTTCACTCCAACTAGAAGAAAGAGCAGCTTAATTCGTAAAAGAATTCTATATGCTGCTGCCTTAGCTAAACAAAGACAGAAAAGCAGGAGGATGGAATGTGGATTTGGTGAAATGCTGGCATAGAATACAAAGCAGCAGTGAATCCTCAGTAGAAACGCATTTCAGTCTAATAATTGCAGGTGAAATTAACTATTTTGGGGGAAGAATAAGAGGAATGAATCAATTCTATTTCAGGTTAGCATTTTGATGTGAGGTGTTAAGCATTTGTAATTCCAAGTTAAGAAACACAAAATGTGGCATTTTTCATATTGGATATGAATTTCTATGTTTATGGATACTGTTTCTATATGTATTATGCATTTTTTTTTAGTATAACCATTTTCCTTCTCAAACACTTTTTTTTTAGAACTACATCCCTTCCTGAACTACCCTGCATCCCTTGCATCAGTCCCTAGGCTTCCCGAAGGAATCTCCATGTTAATCTACTGATCCTTTGCCCTAGCCACAATGTCCTTTTTAGGGATTTTAGAAATGGGCGTAAAGCCCATTCTGCCCCTCTGGCTCTGAATTGCTGAGGCTGTAGATTAGGTACTGGGGCAGTGTTAGCACCCATATTTCTTACTGTGTGGTGTGGTCTGCAGAGTCCAAGAGAAGATGAAGCACAAGCCCAGAAGAGCAGGAGGACAGACAACAAAAGTTCTTGGTTCCAGTTGTTCCCAGGTTCAGTGCCAGGTTTCTGTCTGTGAATTGTGTAAGACACTCCACTATCCTGATTTCCCCTTTTTTATTAAACTAGTTCAAGTTGGGTTTCTATCACATGCAACCAAGCAATTCCTGACTGATGCAGTCACCCTCCCTGCTGCCCTATATGAGCCCTTCAATTAACTTGGGCTCTACATCCTACTTTCTTTTCTTCTTTTTTTTTTTTTAGGATTTTATTTTTAACTAATCTCTACACCCAACGTGGGGCTCAAACTTATAACCCTGAGATCAAGAGTCACATGCTCTACCAACTGAGCCAGGCGCCCCTATCATCCTACTTTCTAAACCTCTCTTGTATTCCTGCCTTCACACCTCTGCAGTGCAATCTTCACCATTCTCACCCCCTGTGGAAGCCCCATCCTTACCCGCATCCAGTGCAAATCCTACACACCCTGTGCATCTTTCCATGACTACCCGGGCCTTCTCTCTATGCTCACAACTCACATAGCCTTTGTTCTCACTATATACTCACTGGCACTTTCATTTCTCCCAAACTAGGCTAAACTCTTTGAGCACTGAGACAATCTATCTTACCTTTGTGTCTCTCCAGGGCTTTAAATATTGTAAGTGTTTAGTTTTGATAGAGATGATCTTGCCAGCCATGATTTTATAGCTAGATGATAATCCTGAAGATATAATTTAAATGGAAAATTGACTTAAACATAATGAACTTATGTTAGCTGAGTAACTATTTTAGGATTAGTTGACATTGAACAGCAATAGTTCTTATAGTGATGACCTCTATAGAGAGATACTGTTGTATAAGATGTACACACCCTGTTTGGCAAGGAGGATGTGTTTTGGGAAACAGAACTGCTAACAATGTTATGCAGGTTGTTACAGCACAGCTGTCAAGACCGTGCATTCCTGGCACTTTATGTTGACAGTACCTCTTCTATTCTCTTCAAATGACTTGAAGTCATGATATACTTCTGGCCCAATTTTTTTTCTAGGTGTTTTTCAAACAACAGCAGGTCAATTATCCCAAACAACAGCAGGCTACAGAGATATTTATGATGCCATTCTAATGTCACTGTATTTCCACAATCCTGGAATTGCGTGCTGAGCTTCACTCTCTGTTTTCACATCTATTTCTTTGAAGGTAACACCAGCTGCCTTACAACTAGTATAATTATAGCATCCAGCATGTCATTTTCCTTGCTTTCTTTGGGGCATGTCCAACTCTATCACTTGCAAACATTATGTTAGCCATTAAGAATAAAAATTCTTGGGATCCCTGGGTGGCGCAGCGGTTTGGCGCCTGCCTTTGGCCCAGGGCGCGATCCTGGAGACCCGGGATCGAATCCCACGTCGGGCTCCCGGTGCATGGAGCCTGCTTCTCCCTCTGCCTATGTCTCTGCCTTGTCTCTGCCTCTCTCTCTCTCTGTATGACTATCATAAATAAATAATTAAAACAAAGAAAAAGAAAAAAAAAAAAAAGAATAAAAATTCTTGACCAGACCCAAAATAATTGGCAGAAATAAAGAGCATGGAAAGTGGATACTCTGCAGAACATGCTTGTTGTAGGAAAGCAAGGCAACATACTCAGAGGCAGTGTTTTTTGCAGGATGTGTCCCAGCTCTTGTTGGTTGAGTGCCTGCAAGTACAGCTAGCGCTCATAGCATGGCAGGTATGTTCAGTAATAGAGAACCAAAATGGAGACTACACATATATTAATACATGTGTATGTGATTTGGGAAAATACTTCAGAAACAAATTGCTTTATAAAATTTTGGGACAAATAAATAGCATTAAACCTGGTAACTTAGATAGAAAAAGGAGAACTTAAATGCAGATATGTACTCAACTTACAAATATGGCTTCTTTGCTAACTACAAATGCAGGATTCAAAACTCAGGACTTTGATATAGATTTGTGAAAAGAAATGGAAGGAGAGAGGTCCTGAAAGGTGACAGTAGATGACAAAAATAACAGACCATTAGTCGTAATACCAAGGCAGTTATAAACCAGAGCTGGGATGACCGTTATTCTGGTTAATGAAGGCAACAAGGTGGAGAATGACCTCTGGATAAACACCATAGGGGGAAATGTGAGAAGATCTCAGTCCCAGGGCTTGGTTAGAGACTTGTTGGAATTGCTTTCCCAGGAGGCAAGACTTCTGAGGGGCAAATAAAATATGCTCTCATGAAACCCAGACAAGCCTCCATCCTGGTCAAATGACTCTGGCCATCTGTATTATTAAAAATAGCTTTGGTTAACTCAGAAATGTGGAGAAGCATTTTTTTTTCTTAAAAAAGCTAATGCCTACAAGTATGACATGTGGATAAAAGCTAGCAGGCCATTGTAGGTCCTTTGGATTTCATCTTAATAAGAAGTTCCAACCTTAATTAAAAAAACTTTTTTTGCTATGCAGGGCAAATTATAAATTAAGATTTCAGCTTCTGGCACTGCAAGATCAGAAGAAATGCTGAGGGCTACATTTTTTGAGAAATGAATACAGTAAAATACAGAGGAAAGAAGCCTCTCTTCCTGTTGTGTTCTTGAGATGACAGCATAACATGGTCACATCCCATTTAATTCCTACCTAATTCAAGGCTTCCCTCCCCAGTAGAGCCAGCGTCATGGGTGTGCAAGCCTTATAGTGGCACATGACTTTGTTCCCAGAAGAGACCCTGTGCTTATTTTAATGTTTTACTGTTGCTGTTTGGACATGCTTGGTAATTTTCCCTTTGAACTTGTGTTTTGTAAGTGGAGTCTGATGGGATAAGGAGTGTGCATGTGAACAGGATGTTACTCCAGGGGTGTGTACTAGGGAACACAGACCTGCAGATTCCAGGGGCTGCAGGCAGCAGTGTATACATGGAGCATTCCCCAGCACACACACACAGAAGCCTGGGGTGGTCCAAGATGCCAAAGGACCCCAAGGAGGTAGCTGTGGCTGGACCTGGGTCTAGATTGGTGGTGGCAACAAGAGCACTGGTGGCCTTGGGAAAGAGACGTATATGGCAGGAGCCAGTACTGGGACCCAGGTTGTGACACTGGCTCGGTGGTCCATCTCGGAAGCTGGGCCCTAGAGCTTCTGCACAAACATTAGTTCTGTAGATTGAGCATGGGTAGAGGAAATGCTGGCACCAAGGAAGTAAATTTTGTTTGTAAATCATTACAAAATAAAAGCATACACAGGGATATTGCTGAAAGCACATAAGGGAGTTATCACTTTTCAAAGAGTTTAGAATTTATGCAACATTATGAAACAAATATCCATAGGCTTATAAATAGAAATTAAATTTAAAGATTGTCCCATTAAGGGCACCTGGATGGCTCAGTTAGTTAAGCATCTGACTCTTGATTTTGGTTCAGGTCATGATCTCAGGGTTGTGCAATAGAGCCCCATGTTAGGCTCCATGCTGGGTTTGGAGCCTGTTCAGTATTCTCTCTCTCTCTGCCCCTCCCCACTTCTCTCCCTCCAGGGAAAATAAAAACACCATCCTACTAGATGGAAAAGAATACTGTTTTCATATGAAGCTTCAGATGAGTCGGTTACTAATGAAGGTGACAATTCTAAAACTGATTTTTCCTTTTAACTGAAAATATAATAGAGGCGTCTGAGGAATGATGGCTGAGTAGGAGGACCTACTCTTTGTCCCATGTTTACCACAAGATATCATCCTCATTTAAATCAATAATATGGAGAGT